TTAACTCTGCTTATGTAGACATTTTGGCCGTGTCTTCCTGTTCTAAATAAATGGCATCTGAGACAAAACTTTATCTAGCCTGGTCTAGTTAGGCTTGGATTCAAATGAGATGGTTTGGTGGGGGGCATGATTTTCATGATACGATGAGATGGGGTTGGAGGGATTTTACGACAGAAATAATGACGATGATGGTGATGATAAAATAATCATCATGGCTCTGAGCACAAAGGCATTAAATACATATTAATAATTAGAAGAGGTGGTTCAAAGAAAATGAGTACCTCAAAATGCATTACAATGGGCAAATTGAATTTGGTCCCAGTGAGAGCCAAGCTGTTCTGCTGGAAGAATATTAAACCCCAGCATTCTGCTCTTAAAGGACACAGGGGGACAATTCTATGGAGAATTGTGTGGAAGGCCGCCTGGCAGGAAGGAGAGTGTCTGCCCGCGTAGGTAAATGATCCCTTCCAGGGAAGCCAAGAAGGGGCTCATTCACTTCATGTGGGTGAACACACCCGTCCCAAGAGGCAGTTTTATTTACAGCTTCTTCCTACTGGATCAGCCTCATTTGTTTTTATATCTCCAATCTACGTGGAGCCCTCGCTCACACTCCCAAGTGTTCTTATAAAACACCTTTTGGTAAGCCACCACTGAAATGGAATGCTCTAAACAAATGTTCTCTTAGGGAAGTAACACCTTAATATAAACTGCATTTAATAAAACTGGTAGTGATTCTAAAAAGAAAGGAAAGAGGAAGGCATAGGCAGAGAAAATGTCTGGAAGAAATTTGCAATTAATATTTTACAAGACATTTAGATTCTGATTCCTCCTTGCTGTTAAAATTTAAGAGCTTTTCCAAAACTGTATTCCTCTCTGTTATTACATCCTTAATTAAATTAATTTATACAGTGAATGCTCTAATGATACTGCTGTAGGTTTTCAATCAGAAAGCCTTACTGCAAGAGACAGTATGTTTTAAGACCTTGAGAAAAGAATAACGTGAGGCCCAGTGCTGTCACTGGCATGGGGATATTTGGTCCTGGACACGTGATTATTGAAAAGATCGTGGTAGTTTTTCTGTGTTTCGATTAAGGTCTTCACTTTATTTTTTAATTAAGCTAAATTAGGTCAGTGAACACAAAATGAATCTCTCAAGTTGCCTCTACAAGGATTTTTCTCTCTGGGCAATACAATGGCAGACGATGACATTTCTATTGACTAATTCTCCCAGTTAGGTTGTGCCGTCCTAAACAAAAGAAGCTATGTGTTAGCCCAACGTGCCAAACTTGTCAAGGCAGAGGCAACCAAAATCTGTCCGGGAACACCGATGGCTCAGCTGTAGAAAAAGTCAGGCTAACAGTTCTGCAGGAAACACACAGGTTCCCCCAGAAGCTCTGCCTGTGCAGACACACGGAAGGTCTTCTCTTCAGGTGATGGAAGTCTTACTCACTAGGCATCTCAAGGGCTGGCAGACAGGCATGCAGGCATAAACTGCCACAGCTTAGTGCCTGCAGCTTACTGCATACAGTAGGCACTCAATAATTAGTAGCGTTTTGTTAATCTAATGAGATGTCAGGAATAAATACGGCAGCGTGCCTGAGATGTGATCTGTTGCCTAAGCGTCAAGCCTCCATTTCTAGAGGAGAGCTGGTCTCGCCAGGGAAATGCCATCCAGAGGCTCAGTCTTTGCTTCTCCCTGTGCTGAGCTGTTGAATTTGCTCCCTATTCCCAATACTGTATTTCTAGGTTTATGACGAGCATTTCTTCCTTAGTCACATGGCGTGAAAAACGTGTCCTCAGTGACTCTGCACTGTTGAGTAAGACCCTGGTCCTTCACCTCATCACCCGTCCTCTATGGAAAGGGTCTCTATGACCCGTACACCGCACGAAGGAAGGGTGCCTTCCAACAGAAATCTAAGAGCAAACACATTCAACTCAATAACAGACGGTCCCATCAGCACTTTGTCCTCTGCCATACTGAGTTCTTTGTTTCTCTCAAGACCCAAAGATGGTCCCTAAATATCAATCAAGTTTGGTTGCATGATAAAAGTTCCCTATGATACATAACATCAACTGCAGAAGAAAATGAAACGGGGGTGGGGTGGGGCGCGGAAACCTCAGCGCTATTTGATCTTGTTTTCAACTGAAAGTTTTGGATGCTTTAGAAAAAAAAAAGGCATCAAGTGCTTTTTTAATGGACTTTATCCGCAGGAAAAATGATTAAAACCAGAAAAGCTTTAAAGTGTCAGCTGGTGATGCATTTTTCTTTATCCCTTTTATTTTTATTCAGAAAGAAATTGAAGGCATATGGCAAAGTGCATCATTAATTTCTTATTAATTTCATAATATGAAGGCAACCAGTTAAAATAGTAGTGCTACAACTTTAAATTACCGAACTCACTTGGTATTTAATGAGAGATTTAGCACAGCAGGGTTTCTGTTAAATTAAGTTGTGCCTTCACATCACAGTGGGAAAACAGGTGTATATTGGTTTAGAATTATGGAAATGTTGACTAATTCCAAGGCTTGTAATCAAACAGCAAGGCACCCTGTAATATTTTTTCCCCTAAAATAAGCATTAATCTTTCATGTCTGGTCCCCCTGCCTCCTGTCCACCAAAAGCTCACAGCTGAAAGGAAACCACTTTCATGTTCTTCCTATGGCTGTTCAGGGTGATGTTTATCAGATAACGGTATACATAAATGCAAGATGTGAAACCCTGTTCCCAGTTACCTAATTTGAAGTGTCAAATGTAGCTACGGTGTGTGCACTGTGAAGGCTATCAGCCTACAAATCAGACCTGTCTTCTCAAAATTTCCATTTAACCCGCCCGAAGTCATTGGGCAAATGAAACTGAACTGGATGAAAGAAAACCAAAACAATCCCCAAACCATCTTTTCCAACTCCAGAGTTCTTGCCCTTAATAACATGTCTCCAACATCACCATTCCCGACTTTTGCATGTTGAATTTTTAAGAAGAGAAAAACAGATAGATGCACCAAAAAAAAAATTTTTTTTTTAATACGGAAGATGCTACTTGTTTGCTAAGAAAGGGTGAGAATAAGATGTCCCCAACAGAGGCAGACTTAGTCCCTTGTATGTTTTTCAACATGGCTCACTCATCATATTGACTCTGGGTTTCTTGAGAGTGTCTTCACCTATAAGGATGGCATACAGGTAGCTGTGCAAGTTTTAGTGGAGCAGATGAATTCAAGTTACCCAAGCTTTGCATTAGTTTAAAATAGAATGCGATTTGGCATCAATATACCCTAAATGCTAAATAAATTCATCATCTCAAGTATTTTTTTTAAACATACCTAGAACGGATTTTGTGTACGGATTACTGTAAAGTATTTCTTTTCAAAAGCGGGAATACAAAGTAGCCTTTGGGTTTGATCAGGAGACTGAGAAATTTAAACAACAATATCCTACAGTTGGCCGAACCAGTAAATATTTGCCTTGGTTGCTTCATTTGAAAATGTGACCAAACACTGTAACCTCCTAGAATTTCCATTGGAAAAAATATTTCCATTTATAAGCAAAATAAATACTTAAATAATAAAATTATTTCAAATAATAGTTAGGGGTGCCTGGGTGGCTCAGTTGGTTGAGTGTCTGACTTCAAGCTCAGGTCATGATCTCGCCATTCACGGGCTTGACAGCTCAGAGCCTGGAGCGTGCTTTGGATTCTGTCTCCCTCATGCTATTTCCCTCTCTCTCAAAAATAAACATTTAAAAAGATTTTTTTAAAAAATAATACTTAAAAGTCATGGAGCAAAGCACTGAGATGTACTAAAAGCTGCCTTACTAAATAAAACCACTTAAAGGGTTTGAGGAAGAAGTCGTGAAATGGGGACAGAGAATTCTGGTATCACATGCTTGCTTTTTTGAATCTTCCACTATTTGATTTGCTCTAAGGGAAAGGGAGAAGCCACAGTGGTGTGACTGAAGACCAGGGTTCATAATTTAGTACTTTCGGGTGACTAATGTTTTGAAAACTTTTTCTTGAGTACCTTGCCGTGACAAATCCCATGAAATTTTCAATGGATCTAAGGTAGCTAAGCAAATGCGTGTGTGTGAGCTTGTGTGTTCGTGTGTGTCTACAGAGACAACAAAACGACAGCTAGAATTATGCCCTGGAAACATCGGGGACACTGGGTTATCTTTCTTTTCTTTTGATCAAACCAGAGTTCAATAAAATCATTATTGTTCTGCTCACCACACCTTCTTCATTATAACCAACGCACATTGTCACGACATTGAATGAACTCATCACTGATATTTGGGTCAGTGGGGAAAACACCAAACAGCCCAGGAACTTTATACCAGCATGCAATAAATAACACTGCCATGAAACCCCAGAAATAATGTGTTCTGATGAAGCAGCTATACACAGCATCAGTTCGTTTCTTGTCAATTGTACTAATCGTCCAATATTACCAGGAAGGAAATGGCAAAAAATTGTTAAGCTTTGTATTTTCCGTTCTCTATCAACACGAAGTCACAAATTAGGCATTAAAACATTGACTTTGTTGTTAACCGCCACTGACTGTTGAGAAACCATGAGGAGGTTTAATATTATGGCCATACAGGGTACATTTTGCCCTTTCAAAGGAAAATCTAAGACTAAATTTCAAAAGGGGTTCCTGGTGAGTAAAAGCTTTTCCTTTTCCATCTGCTTCTGTCGTGTGTATCGGGTTTTTTTTTTTTTTTCCCCTTTTAAAATCTCAGCCCACCCAATACTCTTTGGCGGCCGCTGCTGCGCAGTGGGGTCACTCTGATTTTCTAACCAGGGGACATACATTTGAGAACTCTTTCCATCAGCATTAATGCCAATGCTCCTTTATGGGTCGGCCAGCTGCTTTGGCTACTGCAGGGGAACAGAAGGGTTAGCACACACTCCTCAAAAGACCAAAGTCATTTTTGCCACTAGAACCTTCAGTTGAAAGGACCATTTTCAAGCAATAAAGTGATTTTGGTACAAAAGTAAACCGACTCACCCCAGGTAAAGTTTTAATATTGTGCAGTGCATTCTGGGCCTCAAGTGCAGCTTTTCTTGTATAAAATGTTACGAAACAACAACCTACAGAGAGAAATGAAAAGGTTTTAGAAATTTCTGTGAGTGCTTTGCTTAGATATAATGGAGACTACGGCGAACAAATAATCTACTTAAAAGGATGCACAATTTAAAAATAATCAAGTGCATGAGAACAGTAGTAACATCTAAAGCATTTACCAATGCCTTTCACCCAAACCACATTTATGAGCTTTACCCACATTGGAGATCAATTCATAACTCTATGCACCAACTACCTGGAACACAGCTCTTCAGGAATGAGGGCAGAAGTGGTGGGTGACGTGTTAATGGGGCGTGTGTAGCGAGTACAGATGGAGAAGTGTTTAATCACAGTGACAAAGGCAGAAACTTACAGCAACTATAATTTCCTGAAGGGATATTCTAGAACGTCACACTTTTGAAACACTCTCTTAAACCCAATACTTTAGACCACTGGATTATAAGGTTCTTAAAAGCTAAAAGAGTGCTTTATTCCTTATCTACACCATGGTATCATAATGCAAAGGTCCATATGAGAGATACTTCGTTTTTGTCGGCCAAAATGAAAGACTATTTTAACCAGTTTGGAAATTCAGTTACAGGACGGGTGGTCACGTCTCCAAACGTCTGTTTGGACACACTGTCCCATGTATTATTAGATCCGGCTATAGCACATCAACGGGCAACCTTCTGATTCCTCATTTCCAAGAGCTGATGGGAGTCCAGGCTGAATGCCCCCCCCTCCACCCCCCACCCCGGAGAGGCCAGCCAAACCCCTCTTCCTAACCAACGTCCTCTACCAAAGAAACTGGTGTGGAAGCCTTAGACCATCACTTCTGTCCTCTGAAGGATGGCTGACCTCCAACCTGTAGCTAAAGATACTGGTTAAGGTAGCTGCTTAAATCGGATAAAGAAACCAGTTAACGATCTGTTCATTAGCATACAGTTTCTGAGCACAATTAGGCTCAGGAAAAGGGAGTGGACAAAATCTTAAAAAATTTAACGTGGATGGAACTGGAAGGTATTATGCTGAGTGAAATAAGTCAGAGAAAGACAGATACCATATGTTTTCACTCACGGGTGGAGGGGGGAGGGAAGAGGAAAAAAAAAAAAGTTACAGAGAGGGAGGGAGGCAAACCGTAAGAGACTCTTGGATACGGAGAATGGACTGAGGGTGGATGGGGGGTGGGGGAGAGAGGAAAGTGGGTGATGGGCATCGAGGAAGGCACTCGTTGGGATGAGCACTGGGTGTTGTATGGAAACCAGTTTGTCAATAAATTATGTTAAAAAAATAAAAATAAAAATAAAAATTGAAAGAAAAAAGATGCTGCCTGTGAGCTGTCTTTGTAAGCTGGACGGAGGAAAAAAAAGTGGGGAGACGCACTCATGAAGACTGTAAATATTTCAGCCTGAATGTACTGAAGGGTCCTGAAGCATGGAGCCACAGAGTTGGGGCTGGCTTTGAGAGGTCCTCGTACACCAAGCAGAGCGAGGAGCATGAAGGAAATGCGTAACTGAGGCATCGACCGCAGTTCTGTTTTGGGGACCGAAGGGAAAGAGCTGGAAAACATGGCACAGCTGAGAGCAGGGGGTTGGCATCATAAGCCAGCAGAAGTTCAGAATCATAAATCAGCATTCTGGTTTTTCAAAATAAAGCCTCATTCAAAATGGACAGAAGACATGAATAGACATTTTCGAAAGAAGACCTCCAGATGGCTCACAGACACAGGAAAAGACGTTGAACATCACTCCTCATCAGGGAAACACAAATCAAAACCACGAGATACCACCTCACACCTGTCAGAAGGGGTACAATTAACAACACAAGAAACAACAGGTGTCAGCAAGGATGCAGAGAAAGGGGCACTCTGTTGCACTGTTGGTGGAAATGCAGACTGGTGCAGCCCATCTGGAAAACAGTAAGGAGGTTCCTCAAAAAGTTAAAAATAGAACTACCCTATGATCTGGCAACTGCACGACTAGGTACTTACCCCAAAGATACAAAAATACAGATTTGAAGGGGCACATGCACCCTGATGTTTACAACAGCATTGTCAACAATAGTCAAGCTATATCAAGAGCCTAAATGGTAAATCGACTGATGAATGGATGAAGACGTGGCATACGACGGAAAATTACTCAGCCATCAAAAAGAATGAGATCTTGCCATTTGCAACAACATGGATGGCGCTAGAGTGTATTAGGCTAAGCAAAATAAATCAGAGAAAGACAAACACCATATGATTTCACTCATGTGGAATTTAAGGAGCCAAACGGATGTATGGGAGGGGGATAAAAGAGAGAGAGGAGGAAACAAACCATAAGAGACTCTTAACTACAGACTCTTTAAGAGAACAAACTGAGGGTTGATGGGGGGGAGGTGGGTGGGGGATGGGCATTAAAAGGAGGGCACCTGTTGTGAGAGCACTGCATGTTGTATGTAAGGGATGAATCTCTGAATTCCACTCCTGAAACCAATACTGCACTGTATGTTAGCTAGAATTTAAATACAAATTTGAAAAGAAAACTCACTTAAAAACGTAGGGGAAAATAAAGTGCAGTTCCATTCCTTCAGCCTTCCTAAATACATCTATGATGCTTCCTCCTCGTTCGGAAAAGAAATTTGGAAACTTGTTGCAGATTTGATTTTGTTTCAGTCTACTGAGATTAAATATACAACACCTCACCTTCTAGAGAAAGCAGAAAACAATCATAGCTTCCTGGCACTCATACCACATGCATCCAAGGATTAGGAACTCCTAAAATGTAGGCATTCATTGGCACAATGGAAGAAAGTGAACATTATGCAGTTTCTTGAAAGAATCACAGACAGGGGTGCCTGGGTGGCTCAGTCGGTTAAGTGTCCGACTTCGGCTCAGGTCATGATCTCACAGCTTGTGAGTTCGAGCCCCGCGTCGGGCTCTGTGCGGACAGCTCAGAGCCTGGAGCCTCTTCAGATACTGTGTCTTTCTCTCTCTCTCTCTGCCCCTCCCCTGCTCACACTCTGTCTCTCTCTCTCTCTCTCTCTCAAAAATAAACATTAAAAAAATTTAAAAAATCACAGATGGACAGACTGACCATTTTTATTTTTAGCGTGCTTTTTGCTTCAGCTATCCTGACTTCTTTGACCAGAGTTATGTGGCCTGATGGTAGATTTTTTTTTTTTTAACAAAACTTTTTCAAATTAATGAGTGGCTTTGGCTTCAGTGGCATGAAGTGAACCCAAGATGAGCTATAGGATGTGCTTAGGATCTAGGAGTAAACTTTTTTTTGTAATTTTTTTTTCAATGTTTATTTTTCAGGGCAGGGGGGAAGGGGCAGAGAGAGACAGACACAGAATCCGAGGCAGGCTCCAGGCTCTGAGCTGTCAGCACAGAGCCCGACGCGGGGTTCAAACTCATGAATGGTGAGATCATGAACTGAGTGGAAGTCAGATGCTTAACCGACTGAGCCACCCAGGCGCCCTGGACCCAGGAGTAACTTTAAACAGGGAAGTCAAATCCCAGCTTCCAGCAAACCACTATAAACACCCTAAGAAGAAAAAAAAAAATACCAACTATGCTTCACTGGGCTTGCTAGAGTAAGAAAAGCGCAGAGAGACATAACCTCTGTTTTCTGAAAGCTCCTAACAGAACCTCGGTAACGCCTCCCCCTCTCCCTCTCCCCGTCTCACGGGCTTACAACGTTGGCTGCCGGAGAAGGGAAAATGGGGGAGGCCCCTGACTTCAGCCTTGGTCACCAGAGCTTCAAGACTGAGGCAGAGTCTGACGCTCTCAAGCAGACAGGTTTTGGGAGTGGGACACTTAGGAAAAAGGCTGAGGGGTGGAGTGGAAGGTGTGAGGCCGTAAGGCTCGCCAGGAAAGAAGGCAATTCAGAGGCCGAGGAACACAGGCCAGCGTGGCCAGGCTCAGAGCTGAGGACGGAGTTCATTCTGGCCCACGGGGACCGTGGAAGGGCAGGGGCCCCGAACACAGACAGCTGGAGACAGTAAGATGAAAGCAGTGAGAAGCACGATGAGCCAAGTGAGTGAACCCCATGTGTGGGGCCAACGGGAAGAGCTCAGACCGATGCGCGATGGTCTTGGGAATAAAGAAAGCTCTCCTGCCTTTAACCCTGCAACAGAATCCCTACGCCTTCTCACTGCCTGACATCCACCAGGAAGGTGCAGTTCCTTTCCTACTTAAGTATTAAAATGCTGCCCTTGGGGATGGAAACATCTAATCGCTCCCAGCTATTTACATGTTAGTATGAATTTGGTTAAAGCGCTTTCCTTTTGAACGACGTCCTTAGTGAGCACAAGGTGTGTGTGGGTGTCACTGTGTGTGTAGAAAGGGCAAGTCTGAAGCTGATGTCAGAGTGATGCGGCATCGGGAGGCAGAGGGGAAAGGAATGGGGAAAGGAGCCTCATGTCCAAAAGGGGAGATGGGAAGATACCCCAGATCTCAAACACTTACCAGTCTCACCCAGGGCCCACTCTGCCTGTACAACTGCTACGGTGAAATCAGGGTCGCCTCCACAGACCCCCTTCAAATTGTGCACAGCTCTCGCCTCCCTGACTCTATATCCGTTTAGACAAGAGTTTTTAGAGATTACGCCAAGATAAGCTATGCTTCTCGTTGTAACGCACAGAAGAATATCCTGGCTAACATGGTGATCTGCTTCCCGACCCCAACCCAACAGCGCAGGCCCCTCAGACTCCACTAACAGACTTGGCACCTTGGGAAAAGGTGTCCCATCTCCAGATGGGCACAGCCCCTTGCCATGGCCCAAGGCTTGGTGAGCGGGGTCCGGGCTGAATTTCTGCCTCTACCTGTGGTCTCAGCTGGGCACCCGCATGCAATGAACAATCTGTACAATCGTGGGGGTTCTGGGGGGAAGACATTAGGATTGGGAATATCACCCCAAGATTCTACTTTTGGTTTCACACATTTGGGTTCTTGAGTGACTTAGAAACATCTTACTTCCTCTGTACCTTAGTTAGTTTCATTACCTCTCAATCAGTGAGTAAAAACCAGGTCTGCCTCAAC